GACACCAGGAGGGGGCCCAGCGGCTTGCCCGGTATGCCGCCGGTGGCGAGGCCCCTCCTGGCTGCCCGGCCACCATCGCAGACACAGGTCTGCAGCTCCGCAGTGAGCAGAGCTGCAGACCATGTGTCTCGCGAAAACCGGCCAATCAGAGCGTTGCCGCGGGTTACCACGGCAACGCTCTGATGGTCTCGCGAGATTACATGGTCTGCACCGGAAGCAATGGCCACCGGACCACCAGGGAAGAAAAGGTAGGTTCTCGCTCACCCCACACCACCCTCAGCTTCCCCACCTCCCACCAGCCTCACCACCACCCTCAGCCTTCCCACCACCCCAACTCCCTCAGCCTCCCCACCACCCACAGCCTCACCTCACCACCCCCACCACCCTCAGCCTCACCACCCCCACCACCTCACCACCCCCACACCACCCCTCAACCTCACCACCCCACCACCCTTAGCCCTCATCACTCCCTCCTTCTCACACTCATCACCCCACCCTCCTCTCACATCCCCCTCTCCTTCTCACATTACCCTCCCTCCCCCCATCACCCCCCATACACACAACATACTTCAAGCAGCTACCCCATACACATACGGTCTCAGACAAAAACACAAACATGCTCACAGAGACATACATTCACCCACACACAAGGATACTCTCTGTCAGACATACTCTCAGGCACATACACAGGTAGACAGTGCCTCAATATGTATATGTGACACTTTTTTGTTAGTGGTGCCTCATGTTTGAGTTTCGCCTAAGGCCTCATAAAGTCTAGAGCCGCCTCTGTTTCTGCCACATCATCATCAGTCACATTTTCTATTATGTGCATCAGTTAGCAGACGTTCATCATCATGAATCAGTTTAGGTGGATGATATCAAATTTCTCAGAAGTGAAACATCACTCAATTGTCTATGAATTTCTCTGACAGTTCACTTTATTCCATTTTTCCTACCTCTTTCTTAAACACTCTTCTTCTCCACTGTCCCTTATCTCTTTATATATATATCGGTATGTATTAGGCTTCATATCCATGATTTCTGAAATACTCCAATAAAAGAAAATAAAACAGCATTGGCATTTGTGACATTTTAGATCCAATATCTGAATAAAGTGTAGGTGAATACAAACATGAGTGCACAAACTGCCATCAGTTGTATTGTCATTATCTATGGTAGCTTTTATTAACATACAATCTAACATCAAAAGCAAATTTTATCATTGGCAACATAAGGAATAAGAGCCATTGTCTAGTTTTAAAGGAACACAATAGTGTCAGCAACGCAAACATGCATTCCTGATACTATAGTGTTAAACTAATTACTTAGGTCCCCAGCTCCCTTGCATGGCATGGGAGCATTGATTTTATTTCTCCCACGCCGTGCTGGTCTCACCGCGGTTGGCACCACCTCCATGGCTGAGATCATCAGACTTGATGATCTTAGCCAATCCAATGCTTTTCCATAGGAAAGCTTACGGAGGCTATTGCACATGTGCGGCACAACGTCACGCTGTGCCAATAAGCATCTGCTTGTGGAGATGCATTGAATCAAAGCATCTTTATGGGGAATGTTCAGTTCCTCTATGCAGGGTGTGGACATGCTCACACTGAAAACCTTGCAGGGACAGAATATAGACACCAGAACAACTACATTAAAGGACCACTATAGTGCCAGGAAAACATACTCGTTTTCCTGGCACTATAGTGCCCTGAGGGTGCCCCCACCCTCAGGGTCCCCTCCCGCCCGGCTCTGGAAGGGGGAAAGGGGTAAAACTTACCTTTTTCCAGCGCTGGGCGGGGAGCTCTCCTCCTTCCTCCTGCCCGACGCTACGGCAAGAGCTGCGCCAAGATTCAGCCGGCCTAGGAAAGCATTCACAATGCTTCAGTGGATTCTGCTGGCGTGCTCTCACTGTGAAAATCACAGTGAGAAGCAAGCAATGCCTCTAGTGGCTGTCAATGAGACAGCACTAGAGGCTTTGGGGAAGGCTTAACCCAATTATAAACATAGCAGTTTCTCTGAAACTGCTATGTTTATAAAAGAATGGGTTTATCCTTGCTGGACCTGGCACCCAGACCACTTCATTAAGCTGAAGTGGTCTGGGTGCCTAGAGTGGTCCTTTAAGCTATAGTGGTTCTGGTGATTAGTGTCCCTTTGATGTTCAGCCGGTATATACAATTGAAATATTTTTTTTTTATTCTAATATGTTAAATCTTAGCCTGCCTTGATGACAGCAATAAAACTGAGACATCTAATAAATTAGCCAAGACAACATCAGCTGCAATTTATTTTTCTCTCAGGATACCAGAAGAACACTTAACAGAAGTAAAGCGCATCAAAGAACATTCCAGATAATTAAGTAATTATTATTTAAGTCTTTCATATAAATTTTCCCTAAGCAAATTTTCACTGTCTCTTTGTACAGAACTTAATTTACAGAACTGGACAACAAGCTATTTGCCTGTAGGCATTTTGGGTATGATATTTTTATTTTTCGTTTTAAAATGAGTTAGGGGAATCAAAATTATGATCCATTATTCATACGGACTTTGATGGAATTACAGATGGCAAAGAAGATTGTTTTATGTAATTGACTTATTTGTATGCAGGAACTAAAATAAAAGGACATACGGGTAATTCATTGATTCATATGGATTAGTAAATTACTGCACAGCATGAGTGTAAGGAATCAAGAACGTACAGGTGGAAACTTGACCCAATAACAGATTGAGTTTACCATATGAACAGCAGGGAAGCAACAACTAGTTATGGTGGTTAATTTTAACCCTAAGATGTCATCATGCTCTCAGCTCTATAAGTCTATCTGGACATTTCCTGGCTTACAACCTGAGCTGTCAGACGTTCTTCTTATCCTAATTTGAAAATTCTACATGACTTATGATGTGTAATCACAGAGTTCCTTAAGGCATTATAAAACTTGGAGAAAGCTCAGCACTTGTTTACAGCACAGGCTTCTTTTAACCACATTGTGTCTCAGTATTTATTGAAGGGATAGCTAAAGCCTCTGTTGCCTTGAGACAATGCAATATCTGGAGGTGGAATAATATTTTAAGTAGACATTCATACAACTCAGTCACATTTCTGTCAGTTTAAATATAGATAAAGTATGTATAATGAATTTATTAACTGGACATTGCACTCCTAAACCATCTAAAACAAAATCAGATTTAACAACTGCATATGTATAAATTGTATGTATGTGCATGTTCCCATGTGTAATGTATTGTGTTTGAGCTTGTGAAGTATAGTGAGCGTGTGCATCTGTGCAAGTTAAAGGTGTTGCAGAGTTAAAGGGATACTCCAAGCACCCAGACCACTTCTGCCCATTGGAGTGGTCTGGGTGCCAACTCCCACTACCCTTAACCCTGCAGCTGTAGATATTGCAGTTTCCATAAACTGCAATAATTACATTGCAGGGTTAACTCCTCCTCTAGTGGCTGTCTACTAGACAGCCACTAGAGGGCACTTCCTGGTTTCTAGCACAGGTTTTCTCTGCTAGAGCGTCGCTGGATGTCATCACGCTGTGTGAGGACCTCCAGCATTGCTCAGTTCCCCATAGGAAAGCATTGAAAGCATTTTCAATGCTTTCCTATGGAGAGGTCTAATGCGCGCGCAGCATTGCCGCGTATGTGCATTAGGTCTCCCCCGCCGGATGACGTCGGCTGGGAAAGGAGCATGGGCGGACCTGAAACCACCGCAGAGGGACATCGGTGGGGGTCTCAGGTAAGTCACTGACGGGGTTTTCACCCCTTCAGCAACATGGGATGGGTGGTGGGAGTGAGAGGGTGCCTGCTGTGCCAGGAAAACGGTTTGTTTTCCTGGCACTGGAGCGTCCCTTTAAAGATATTGTTAAAAAAGGTTAGGGCACAGAGGGGTTATGGTTATAGAGGGGTGAATGTCAGAGTTAGATTACATATGGTGTTTAGTTTTGCGAAGATTAATATTTTGAGAAGGGTTAAAGTTGGAGTATAGGGGCTGTTTAAGATTATTGAGTTTAGGGCTAGTGTATGGTTAAATTTAGAATTTGGGTACAGGGAATGTTTTCGGATCACTGAGGTTAGGGCTAAAGTTGGGTTAAATTTAGTATTGGGGTACATGAGATGTTTAGGGGTAGGAGTTAAACATATGATATAAACATAGGGTTTATTTTCAGGTTGAGGGTTTGAGTGCTGGAGGTTGAAGGGTTATTTGCAAAGTACTATGTCTTCTGTAGACTAGTCAGACTGGTCGCATAGGCAAGCATTCACAATCACTCAGGGATTCCGCTGCTCCTCCAGCAAGGCATTTCCTGTGTGAGATGCTACTAGTGGGCAGATGGGAAGTGATCACTTCCTCTTCCTGTCCAGCCACACATTCAGACAGTGGAGCAGTTGGGACAGCACTGAGTGTACACCCTCTACAACTGTTCCTGCAGCTCTGCTATTAGGGCTAACTGGAGTACAGAGGATACTGGGTATGACCCCTGGTACTTATCTTTCCACTGCCTAATTAATCTCATAAAAGGCACGTTATAAGCACTGAAAACAGACACCCCTTAGTGGCCAGGCACTTGTATGTAGGTATCTACTCTATCCAGGGCCAGATTAAGAGCACAGTGGGCCTGGTGCTGACAATTATGATGGGCCTAATTACGGAATCTTATCGACCAAAAACACTAAAACAATCATACCTCCCAAGCGTCATGTATCTGATGGAGATGGTGCTGGAGGGAAACTCATAGGATACAGCTATAAGAAAACACATACTCTATGCTAATTTCTCTTTAATTTATGCTTTCATCTTTCAAGTAAATCCATAACCCCTAACAGCAGTGTCCAGTGAAGCAGGAAGTCAATGGGCGGGGTAAAAGGGTGTGCCACTAGCGCGAATCACGTGACAAGACCTGCCAAAAGGGGTGAACATGCCCAAAAAGGGGGCATGTTTGTTCAAAGAATTGGAAGGTCAGCCTGGTGTGAATGCATATCAGGCTGCCTGCCAATCCTGCAGGCTGTCCAACTAAGGGCATACTATGCAGGCAGCACCTTGAGCTTGACATAAATGCGTCTAATGATGCACTCACTCCATTCTTTCTAAGGACTGTCCCCTAGCACTCGCTGGTCCACTTGTCTCCTTACCTTCTTACTAGCAGGCAGAAGTTCCTGGTATAGTCTGAGACAGAGAAAAGGTGTCTGTAGTGAGTGTAGAAGAAAGGGGACATGCCACAGTGTTAGAGAGACCAACGTCTGCATTACCTAAACTAACTTTAATGTCAGCCAGTGCACACAAGTTTTGTTCCCATACATCCCTCTTAAGCTTCCAAACTTAAAGGGACACTATAGTCACCAGAACAACTACAGCTTATTGTATTTGTTCTGGTAAGTAGAATCATTCCATTCAGGCTTTTTGCAGTAAACACTGTCTTTTCAGAGAAAATAACTCCACTGGCCGCTCCTTAGATGGCTGCTAGAGGTGCTTCCTGGGGCAGTACTGCCTAGTGTGCAGCACTGCCATTCAGTGTCTCCACCCTCTGCATGCAGACACTGAACTTTCCTCATAGAGATGCATTGATTCAATTTATATTTATGAGGAGATGCTGATTGGCCAGGGCTATGTTGGACTTGTGCTGGCTCTGCCCCTGATCTGCCTAGTTGACAGTCTCAGCCAATCCTATGGGGATGTATTGTAATTTGTCAGACCACCACTTCTGAGCCAGCAGCTGCAGACTTGAATACAAGTAATATTTTACTATATTTAGGGAGGCAAGAAGGGGCCAGGGTGGTGGTTTTAACATAATAGGGACAGAAATACAGGATTGTGTTCCTGACACTATAGTGCTCCTTTAAGCAAGAGCATGTGAAGAGTAGTTAAGGTTTCCACCTTTTTTGGGAAAAAATACAAGCCTTAATCATTTGTATAATTAGTTATGCGTGACATCACATGATGTAAATCACAAGGAGTGATATCAGGGAAAATTCTGTAAAATCACCAACAAACTACTCACAGTTTGATTCTGCTGTATAGATGGATTGCTCCCAGTGTCTCCTTGTCTCCCAGTGTCTCAGTCTCGCAAGTCACCTAGTGTCTCAGTGTCCCTATGTCACACAGTCCCCTAGTCTCCCAGTGTCTGTGTCCCCATTTCTACCAGTGTCCCAATGTCCCAGTGTGTCCCCATGTCACTAGGATACTGGGGACACAGAGACATGGGGACACAGAGATATGGGGACACTGAGAGACCCGGGGACACAGAGAAATGGGGACACTGGGAGACATGGGGACACAGACATTTAGGGAAACTGGGAGAAATGGGGACACTGAGACACTAGGGACACAGACACTGGGAGACATGGGGACACAAACATTTGGGGACACTAAGACACTAGGGACAAAGACATGGGAACACAGACACTGGGAGACTAGGGGACACTGGCTGGGAGACAGACACTTGGGGACACTGGGAGACATGGGTGCAGTTGTGGACATAGACATGTGGACACTGGGAGACATGGGGACACCAGGCACACTGAGACACTAGGAACACAGACACTGGGAGACATGGAGACACTGAAACATTTGGGGACACCAAGACACTAGGGACACAGACACTGGGAGACTAGGGGACACTGGGAGATTAAGGGATACTGGGAGACTAAGGGACACTTGCTGTGAGACAGTTGTGGACATAGACATGGGGACACTGGGACACATGGGAACACTAGGCACACTGAGAGACATGGGACACAGACACTGGGAGACTTGGGGACACTGAGACACTGGCTGGGGGACATAGTGTCTCCGTGTGCCAATGTCTCAGTGTCTCCCAATATCCCTATGTCTCACAGCGTCCTCATGTGTCTCAGCATCCCCATGTGTCCCAGTGTCCCCATGTTTTCCAGTGTCCCCAGGTCTCCCAGTGTCTGTGTCCCCATGTGTCCTAGTGTCTCAGTGTCCCCTAGTGTCTGTGTCCCCATGTTTTCCAGTGTGTCCAAGTGTCTCAGTGTTCCCAGGTCTCCCAGTGTCTGTGTCCTAGTGTCTCAGTGTCCCCTAGTGTATGTGTCATCATGTGTCCCCTAGTGTCTGTGTCCCCATATGTCCCCTAGTGTCTGTGTCCCCTAGTGTCTCAGTGTCCCCATGTGTCCCTGCTGCCTTTCCCCCCATCCCTCACTTACCTGAGCTGTAGAACTGCTGTCTGGACTCTCTGTGCTGTGTAACTGCTCCCCCACGGATCAGTGAGTAGTAGAGAGAGGCAGGGATATTCTGTAACTTCCTATCCCTGACTCTCTCCACACACAGTGACCCCTACTGGCCGGTGCTGGTATTGCAGAGTAATTTACATTTATTCTGAGAAAATTACCTGCATTTGTATTGACGGTATTACTGCAATACCGGCACGGCCAGGCAGCCTCAAATACCGTCTGTGCCATTAAAATACCAGTCAGGTGGCAAACCTATGAGTAGTGTGTAAAAAAAAAATATTTAATTTTTTTAATTTTTTATAAATGGGCCTATTCCATGGGCCTGGGCCTGGAGCTGCAGCTCCATCAGCCCCTATGTTAATCCGGCCCTGACTCTATCCAGCACTGAGCAGCAGAGAGAGGGAGCCCACCTGAAGAGACTACGATGCTAGGGAGTGGCTAAAGAGTCATTCACCCAACACACCAGCACCAGACAGATGCGGGCCACCGGGTAGCACCGCCTCTGATAGTGTTACCCGGTGCGGGTTAAACCCATTTAGTGATGCCACTAACTGTAAAATAGAGGCATTCTAGCGTATGTTAGATTCCTTGTTGTGTTATCTGGTTCCTTAGTGGTTGGAATGATAAAGCATTGAATTTTTTTTATTTATTTTTTTACCAATTGTGTTGCATATACTTGTAGACATTTTGCTGAAACGATGAATATTGGAGACAAGGAAAAATATATTGTGTCTGTGGTTTTTTTTTTCTGGATAAATGTATCCATATTCATAGATAAAGCGATCATTATTCCACTTAGTATAACTAGTAGTTTTTACACATCTTTATCTAGTGCATACACTAGTCTATATAATGTTCTTAAATTGAATTGATAGAAAGACAGGTTTAGGAATCCTAGGTGTAGGAAGCTGGGTGGGAAGGGCGGGGGAGGAGATGAACACCCTGGAAAATCTAGAGGGGGTAATGAAAGTGTTAAGGCCCCCCAGACACAACTGTGAAGCTTTTACAATCATATGTTTTACTCTAAGAAAGATGAGGAAAAAAAACAAAACATTTTTTAAAATCATTATCTGCTTCATCTTCCTTTTAAAGCAATTACATTTCAACAAGAATATAAGTGGAAATTACTAGATAACTGATTTGTTTTACAAGAAATTGCATATTTATATATTAAAAAGGTGAGAACTTATTTAGGTCAATATTCCATTCCATAGCCTCCCAAAGTATTGGTATCATATTAGTTAGAAAAAAACAAACTGCATGGTTAAACGTATGGGGCGCATATGTTATAAAAGGCTGCCCCCCACAGATTTTCTTTAGTTGCTACACCAAGGTGTGACTTTTGGATTTTAGTCAAAAGTTCACAAGAAAACCAGAGATAAACAGTTAAAATTAGTTTTACAAGATAACGAGAAAAATGTGGGTTTAAACTAGATAAACTTACTAAACATAAATGCATGAAAGATCCCTGTGCATATACAATTTAATAAAGTGTTACATCATCTAGATGATGGAGAGGTAAACACATCTTTTTGATATGCATGTGGACCATTTGACATATTATTTAATAATACAGGCATTATGATGCCCACATATGCAGGGTTAGTTACTAAAGTGAGAATTGTCAGGAATTCAAAGTGAACTTTAAATTTAAAGGGTTACTCAAGACCCCTAAACAAGTTTAGCTTGCTGAAAAGCTTTTTGTGTAAAGAGTGTGCCCTCTTTTTTTCATTTTGCCAAAAGTGCAAACTTCAATAGTATTCGACTCTTTTATAAATTAACCTGGTAACACCCCCTTCGCTTTCAAGCAGACAACCAGTCATGCTACTTCCTGGTTTCTTTAGCTCAGTGGAGCTAAACTCAGAAGGCAGCAATTACCCAGAGCACCTATCTTGTAAAGACTTAAAATTGCGCTCCATTGGGAAGTCTGTAATTGGACAGCCATAGAAAGTCTGCGCGGGGTTAGAAGGGGAGGGCTTGCAAAGGCTGCAGACAAGAGAACTAAAGGTTTTGCAAGCTGTTTTCAGAGTTACTCCAATGAACAAATGCATAATTAAATGCATGCAATCTTTCAATTGGGGTGTATCTACTAAACAGTGATTTTTAAATTTATTTTTGGGGTAAGAGGGGTGTCCCTTTAAGAAAATGTAGTCGAATTTTAAAATTGTCCAAATCAGCTTATATTTGAAATTCACTTTGCATTCCCCACAATTTTCACTTTAGTAAACAGCCCTGTTTATGTCAAAATTGTAGTCATATTGTGTAAAGCACTAGAGATGGGGGTAAGCAACCTTACAATGCAAAATGGCAATGACAACTTTATGTAATTATATGTGAATATTATTAATAAAAGGTTGCAATATCGTGTTCCACCCATGGACTGTCGTATAATTTTTAAGCTTTCAATTATTTTGTCATCTAAAACATTGTTTTTTTTATGCATTTTTTTATTATATATATATATAAAAAAATCATATACATGCAATTAGTATATTTGAGAAGTTATTTGAAATGTAAGGATGAATAAACACTTAGTTTGATATTTAAGCACTTCAAAACATACAATCAGAAGCACACACTTATTAGCAGATAAAATGTATGTTGCAGATACAATATAACCTGACTCTCCACCTACTTCTAGCTTATTAAGGAGATTTTTTGCCAATATCAGCTGTTTTTGCTAAGTCAGAGTCTCCTCTCCATTCATCCAAGGAGCCAGACAAAACCTCATTATCAGAAGTGGTCACGGCTCAATGCCCATAGCCACTCTGTCAATATTAAAACACTTTGCTCAAGCAAAACCTTAACAGGAGTTCTATGTAACAGACCTCATGCTGACTTTTACAATGTGAAGGAGAAAGAAGACTATTATTTTACCTTTAAATGCTATTAATTAGAAAGTCCCTACAGAGTGTACATAGTTACTGATGTTGAAAACATTTTCCACAATAATATAAATAAATATATATATATATGGACTGAATGAGCACTGTCCTCCAAGGGACACTACTGTATTGTCAACCCCCA